AAAGCAAAAGTATGAAAAAATGCTCAAAGATCTGGTTTGCCTCTTTTAATTAGAATGAAAATATGAGATGTTGAAAATAATTTGTTTGAAGATTTGCAATAATCATTGATGCAAATGAGCATTTTTAAGTTATTAATTCCAAAGTGCCAATATTGTAAGTGCAGAACATCAAACATTGGAACCCACTGGGCTAAGGTTTTTGTACTTTTTTGTAGGAAGTCATGCGCCGTAGTATGGATGATGTGGGTGGTGTTCAAGAAGAAGATGAAATCCAGCAGGCAATTAGACTGTCACTTCAGGAGATGGGTATGAGTTATACACAGGAAAATCAGGAAGAAAGTGTTGACTTTCAGGTACATTTAGTGTAGAATTATGTATTAACTGAATGTCGCATTTCATACTACACCTGGCTAACCCAAAATTAATATCTTTTTTTTCAGTTTGTGTTGTTAAATTACAGGTTACATTTCCTATTTGCAAAGTACATACATGTACATGTATATACAACACCTGCTGTAAGTGTGTGAACCAAGATTAATTGGTATTATGGTAGCGGGGTTCAATGATACATCTTCGGAGGCTTCTTACTTTATTGTTAAGTCGTGGTGGGTACACAGGCTTGTGTGTTGTGCCCATGGTCCGGGAGGGCCATCCCACGAGAGAGCTAGTAGTAGGCCTTGTGTCTTCCTGCTAGGCCTCTGTGTGAGTGAGAGTGTGTGGGACCAGCTTCCCACAGACCTGAAGCAGGCCCATAGGGCAGCACTTTAGTGGCATGAAATATGAACTGAGCTGGCAGACAGCATGGGCTGTCTGTGCAGACAGTACAGGCTGTCTACAAGTGCCTGATCAGCTAGGTTGTGATGGCTATGTAGATCTGCAGGACACTTAGAAACAACTTGATTGACCAGGTAATCAGCCTTGAAATCTGGACTCAGGCTGGGCTTCAGGAGTCAGATAACTTGAAATTAGTTATAGGTATGTCTGTAACATACATAGATGGATACTTAATAAGCACAAGTTGTTTAGGTTTGTATGTTTGAATATGGAAATGTTTACACAGTAATTAATAGATGCATAGGTTGTACTTTTGAACATGCATGCACTTTCCATTAATAATAAATGATAAAAGTACAATAATAATTATTGTTATTGTTGAAAGAATTAGAGGTAAGACAGAAAGCAGGATTGCAGATGAACAAGGAGGCTTTAGAGTGGGTAAAGGATGTTTAGATTAAGTGTTTATATTGAAGCATGTATGTGAACAGTATTTCCATAAAGGTAGGGAAGTTTTCTTTGCTTTTATGGATTTAGAAAAGGCGTATGGTAGAGTGGATAGGGGAGCAATGTAACAGATGTTGTAAGTGTATGGAATAGATAGTTTTTATGAGGATAGTGAGGCTCAGGTTAGGATGTGTAGGAGAGAGGAAGGTTACATCCCAGTAAAAGTACATCTTAGACAGGGATGTTTAATGTCACCATGGTTGTGTAACAAATTTATAGATAGGGTTATAAAAGTAGTAAATGCTAGGGTGTTGGGGAGAGTGGTGGGATTAAATTATGGGAACAAATACAAACTGGGAGTTGGCACAGTTACTTTTTGCTGATGATACTGTGCTTTTGGGAGATTCTAAAGAAAAGTTGCAAGGTTGCTGGACAAGCTTGGGAGAGTGTGTAAAGGTAGAAAATTGAAAGTGAAAATAGATAAGAGTAAGGTGATGAGGGTATCCAACGATTTAGATAAAGAAAAATTGGATATCACATTGGAGGGAGGGGGTATGGAAGAAGTGAATGTTTTCATGTATTTGGGAGTTGACCTGCCAGTGGATGGGTTTATGAAGGATGAGGTTAACCATAGAATTGATGAAGGAAAAAAGGAGAGTGGTGCGTTGAGGTATCTGTGGAGACAAAAAACGTTATCCATGGAGGCAAAGAAGGGAATGTACAAGAGTATAGTGCTACCAACACTGATATGGATGTGAAGCATGGGTTGTAAATGCTTCAGTGAGGAGGAGGCTGGAGGCAGTGATGTCATGTCTAAGGGCAATGTGTGGTGTAAATATTATGCAGAAAATTTGTAGTGTTCAGCCTCAAAAAGGTTGGAGGGAGGGGGTAAAGAAGGTTTTATGGGCGAGGGGCTTGGACTTTCAGCAAGCGTGTGTGAGTGTGTTAGATAGGATTGAATGGAGACGAATGGTTTTTGGGACCTGACAAGCTGTTGGAGTGTGAGCAGGGTAATATTTTGTGAAGGGATTCAGGGAAACAAGTTAGCTGGACTTGAGTCCTGGAAATGGGAAATACAATGCCCGCACTTTAAAGGAGGGGTTTGGAGGGACATCTAAACTATCATATCTGAGCGCCTCTGCAAAGATAGTAATTATGTTCAAGTGATGGTGACAGTGATGAATGATGATGAAAGTTTTTTCTTTCTTTTTGGGTCGCCCTGCTTCGGTGGGGAATGGCTGATGTGTTAAAAAAAAAAAAAAGTACAGTATGCAAGTTGTTAGATGAAGACTGAAAGGTATAACCCAAAATAAAAAATACAAAACTAAAAAATCTATATGGAGATTATCAAGAGAAAAGTTGTAGGGCTTCTTCATCATTCACAGATATTAGTAACTGAGGAAAATGCATTCAAACCTTTAAGTCTTAAATTGACCCTCATGGGAAGTCTCTTGATGCCAGTGAAGGGCTCTTGATCCAAAGAATTGGAACTACACTTCCTTGGATTGAAACTGCTTTATTCCTGTTTCCTTTTCACTTTCACTGTGTAACACACAACAAATTTAATGCTTCCTTTCTGAAATGTACAGTAACAAGGAGAATAAATACTGTGGCAGATTTGCTACTCACTTTCCATTAATGTTTTTTCAGCTGTGTGATAAAATAACAAGACCTGAAAGAGAAACAGGACTAACAAGCAAATAATTTTTTATTTTTTGAGGTACCATTACCTTTCTTCCAATCATGCTGAACAGTTCATAATTTTATACTGCTCAGTATAGGATACCACTCATTTTGATTTTTTTTTTTATTATTTTCCCAATATGAATGTTATATTCACCATTATTTTATTGTTAAGAGAGTTTTGTAAATGAATGAAAGCTTCCATTCCTGCTGTTGAGAGCTGGTAGGTAAGAGTCTGGTTCATGTGATGAAGTAACCATGACTAGACTCTTACTCATCTGCTTTCACTAGCACTGTCTTCAGCTAATGTAATGTTTATGTTGCTTTTACCAGAGATAAGTTTGTTCATACATAATTATGTATTAGGTAATAGACATTACTTTATTGAGCATCTTTCATGTCTGAACAATTAATTATTTATATATTTTGCTTCCAAATGCTTTGTCATCATTCACCAGTTATTTTTTTTTACTTGGTTAAAGTTAACTATAATTTGAATAGATTAATTATAATGACTTTGTAGATAATGTGTAGTGTTTCCTTGAACATGTCCTGTTCCCCACTCCTTCCTCAAGACTTTCTGAAAATATCTCGATTCCTGAGATTGATGTAGTACTTGGTAATGTTAACATCTTGGCTGCTTTGTGCTTATATCCGTGAACAAATGGAATTATTTAGTTCCATTAATACCTCCACCAACTTCCATGCTACTGGTGGTAGCATGAATAACCATTCTCCTGAATGGAAAAGGGTGTAAAAAGTGAATACTGTATACCTAAAGTCTCTTAATTGGATATTAGTAGTTAATTTATTGACTTCAGAAAATTCCCAGGCAATAACCTGTGCAAACATGCTTATTATAAAAAATGAAATAGTCCATTGTAAGATTTTCCTTCATTTTTTCAGACTGATGATTATGACCCAAAGAATCCACTGACTGAAGAGTTTAAATGTGAAAAACATACATATCGTCTTATCAGTGTGATTAGCCACTTTGGTCTTACAACTAATACAGGTGAGGTGGATAAAATGAAACTATTTTTATGAAAAAATAGATTAAGTTCATAGATTTGTTTTATGAATTTGAGTAAGTGTATATTAGTCATATCATTATATCTGATATGAGAAATTGTGCAGTATTTCTCTTGATAAATTTTATGGTGTATGTTTTAGAAAAATCATTAAACTTTTTTTGAAAAAAATATTGATTTTTTACACTGAATTTTGTTTAATGAGTAATTGGATGTTGAGTTCTCTGTACCTGTCATACAGATGTCATTAAATATGTATTTAAAATGATTAACCCTTAAACTGTCCAAACGTAGATCTATGTTCACGTGTGTAGTGCTCCGACCTTTATTTTCTCCATTTGAAAGCATGAAAAAAAAAAAAAAGTAGATCTACGTTCGGAGCGCTACGCACGTCAACATAGATCTACATATGGACAGTTTAAGGGTTAAATAATAGCATTTTTGTGTTATTGCAGGACACTATGTTGCTGATATATATAACTGTGATGAAGATAATTGGTTCCACTATGACGATGAATGTGTGTTAAGAATCCCTGAGTCTGTCGTTTGTGCAGAGGGACGGCAGAAGAATGGCTACATCTTCTTTTACATGCATAAGTAAGGAGGAAGCTAGGCTTTTTTCCTTGATGTAATGCTTGCTGTTTATTCTTGTTTAAATTGGTTATTTTTGTATGCCCTTAAAGGGAAGTACTATATTACTACTGAAGCAGAAGTTGACATATCATTATTATTTTGGCTTTCTTTTCTTTTTATACGTACAGCCTCTCCTCACTTAACGACGGAGTTCCATTCCTAAGATCAAGGAGCATACTATAATGGTACTGGGTTTGTGTCAACCATCTTTGATATTGTTTTAATGTCACCTTTGTACCACTTAGAACATTTTTAGTATATTTTTCAATGTTTATACAATAGTGTACTGGATATTGTAATAAACAGAATAGAGGAAATTAGCTCTAATATACCTTATTTAGGTATGCATACTGGTCAGAGACCCCCGTCATAAGTCCAAGTCGTCAGTAAACGAGTACGTCACTAAGTGAAGAGAGGCTGTACTTACATTGTTTGCTGATGTGATGGTCATTACTTTTATTTTTAAGTGCCAACCAAAATATAAGAGTTCCCTTGCTTTTTGAAGATTTGCTAATCCTATTCTATCATTAATTGTGGTAATGTGATATATGGTTGCCATATGTGATCAGTATAGTTTGCAAGGTGAAATGACAACTCTCATTATGGCTATTGGCAGTTTCATACAGCTGCCAAGGGCCTGAAACAGATCTATAGCATAAAATGAGGGACACCATTGAAAACAACAGCTTCAGTATCAAATTGAAATGAGATTTCCATTAATTGATTTCTTTTCTTTTCAGAGATCTCTTTCTAAAGGAAAAGAAAACTGCTGTTGATAGATAATGTGCTTAATTTCTGTATTAATGTGTGTGTACGTATATACATACAAACATGTGATTGTATAGTGTAATTTAATGAAACATAAGATTCACTTTCGGTGAGGTGAGTCTAATAAAATGTAAATTATATAGTATTGCATTTCAAGTAAAAACAAAAATATAGTATATGCAGTTTTTACAAATGCTCTTGAAAAAAAGGGGCATCTGAAATTGAATAGCATGCACTGTGAAGGCCTTTTCACCTATTTAAATTTTAGATGGACCTTTTTCAATGGCATTTACAAAAAACTGTACAATGTAGAGGAACTTCATAAGAGAGTTGACCGTATCTCTGAATGTTACATTTTGCCATGACTAATTATTCAACTTATACCATAAGGAATGTAGTAAAGACTGAGCAGTTAGTAAATTTTGTATTTGACCTGAGCCTTCTGTGAAAGCACTGGTCTTCTATTGTTAATTTGTACTAGATTGTTGATGGCAAATATGTCTATCAATTGAATTTTTATATTTGTTTGAAATGTATTATATATTTATATATACAGTATATATGATGTAAGGTATTATTTTTTTAGCTACTGCAATTATCATTTTGTTCATTTTTGTATTCTGTAATAAAAATGTACTGCACACAAATATCTACCATTGTTATACAAAATACGTATGTAACTTTAAAGTTGTTTGCTAATTTCTCATTAGTTAGCCTAATTTTATATTAAATCTTGATTGTATCTGTGCTCAGTCAAGCTACACTAGTTTACACAATTGGGCTGGGCAGTTTTACACAGCACACTTAGCTATAAGAGAATTCTTTAAATTATGGTAACAAATTCTTCTGGCTGCATCAATTTACCATAGATTTTTTTTTTTAGAAGTTAGTATAAGACTATATAAAGTAATGAATTACCATCCAGCATGAAAACATTACTGAAGCTTCTAGATGTAGATAAACTTGCCAGTTACATCCTAGGCATCAGAATTGATTCTGTACACAGTGAACATAGTACTCATAGTGTAAGGTCAAATGTTTCCTGGGTAAGCTTAATCTGTCATTTTATTTACATGGTATTCTTGCAAATAAAGAAATTTTCGAAGGTTGTGCAATACATAATCTTACATATGCATTACAATTCCTGTAACTTGAAATTATGGTAAGGTGGTGCTTAAAATGTTGATATCAATTTTTTTGGTGGTTTTCTTGACTTTTATTATTATATTTGTGAACTAGTCATTGATAATGCACATTAATCAGAATAAATAACTTTGTGAAATTCCTGAAAAGTTAGGTAAGACTATACTGAAATCTTACTTTTAGAGGTCTGTAATTAAATGTAATAAATTGATAAAGGCTTTTAATTTCATTATGAAGCTCTTCGGATAATCTTTTGACATTGGCAATTGACAAGATTTTCAAGGTGGTTCCTTGCTGTGGAGAGGTTATTGAATCCAGACCTCACAACTCTTCCTTTCAGCTTTATTATTAAGGATATATTTCTTTATGAAATCCTGTTGGTAGTAGACTGCCTGAAGGGAGGCTCCTTGATGTTGGTGAGGAAACTTTGACATCCTCTATATGTAGTTGAGAGTGGTTGTCAATTCTTCAAGCTGCCCTCTATTTTTTTACTTCATGATAAACAAGGCATTACCTTATTCTGGATCTTTGGTAACTGCAGTACCCTCTACTGACCCTAGCACAGCCATGCACATGCCTTAGAATATGGAACCATTTCAGATTAATCACATGTTACCTGAACCTTGTGCTGGCATTCTACCTTTTATACCTCTGACCCCTGCTTTACAGTGACTATAGTGTATGACTGGTGGGTTTAGCACTTAGTTTTGATAATAATAATTTACCCCTCAAGGAAGGTTCCTTGATGCTGGTGAGGGGCTCTTGATCTTGGGAATTGGATGTGCTTCAGTTCCCTGAATTGAATCTGAATACCTTCCATCCCCCTCCCTACAGGTGCTGTATAATCCTATGGATTTAGTGCTCCCCATGATTATACCCCTCATGGAAGGTTCCTTGATGTTGGTGAGGGGCTCTTGATTTAGGGAATTGAATCTGTGCTCCAGTTCCCCGAATTAAGCCTGAATGCCTTCCACATCCCCCCCTGGGCGCTGTATAATCCTACGGGTTTAGCGCTTCCCCCTTGATTATAATAATAATAATCCCCATGATTATAATAATATAATTTACAATGACTAAAGAACTAGCTTTCCCTGTGACTATGAAGATTCACAGATTATTCATGCACCAAAGTATAGAGCAGCTGGATGCCATCTGCCCAAAGATTGACATAAACACTTAACACTGACAGCACATACCTCTCCCATTGCTGAACCTTCTAAATATGACAGTAGACGAGTTTTACTCTAAACGATGAATCCTGAAGCATACCTGAGTGAATGCATACCTGCACTAGATCTTGTGACCTATATTGGCCAAGACTTCGTCCTCCCTCTAAAAATTATAATAAAACCAATCGCTAAACCCACTAGGGTCGTAGTGCTGCAGGACAGAGGAATGTTGCTGGATCATAGAGTAGCAAGGGTGGAGAGAAAAGAGGTAAAGACATGGCTGTGAGGAGTGCTAAAGGAAGTATTATAAAAGTTTGTGTAATAAATCAGTTGCTGTCGAAAAATCAAAGGGAATCTTAAGCCAAAGGTGGGGCCATCAGCAAGGATGATAAAATAGGGGTGTTAGAGTGGTGATGATGTCAGAGGTAAATTGTGTGTACTCAATAGACAGGACAGTCCAATAGAATATGGTAAACTGAAATTGGAACCTGACAATTCTCACAGAATGGAACAGGGTGCCTCTCCATGAGATACCCACAAGTAAGATGGATGTGCCTGATGAGAAGATGGGAGAGCATAGTCTCCCAAACTTGGCATCAATGACAAGAAGGCCAGAAACCTAAATTTGGCATGATAGAATATAATTTGTTATGAATCATATCAGACCAACATTGTTGCCAACGGTTGTGAAGGTGGCGAGAGATTATGGCAAAATAATCTGAGAATGGAATACCTCTAAGTGAAAATAGGTCATGTACCGCTGACCGTGCAGCAGTCTGCCTGCTCATTACCCTGAACAACATGGCCAGGGACCCAGAAGAATATTATTTCTTTGTTTTTGCTATCCCTCAAGGAAGGTTCCTTGATGCTGGTGAGAGGGCTCTTGATCTAGGGAACTGGAACTGTACTCCAGTTCCCTGAACTAGGCCTGAATGCCTTCCATCCCCCCCACAGGTGCTGTATAATCCTATGGGTTTAGCGCTTCTCCTTTGATTACAATAATAACAATTTGTCCGTGCTGGAAATGCGACGCAACCATAGTTATATATGAAGAACTAGGGGATAAGGCAAATCAAATCTTTTAATAGCTTGCAAAGCACTAAAGGAGTCTGAGATTACTACAAACATTGAGGTAGGCATAGATGCAATACGGATAACTGCAATAAGAACTATACAGTTCAGTTGTAAAAATGCTAGCCGAGTCTAATAAATGACCTTGCACAACGTTGTCCATGAATACTGCTGCAAACCTGACACTGTCAGAGGATTTAGAACGATCAATGTACACCGCAATGGCATGGGAATGAGACCGAAAGTAGTTGAGAACAAGGGAGCAAGAAGCAACTGCAGGTATTTGAGCTTTCGCACATGGTAGTGGGGAAGAACAGATGAACTGTCGGAGCCTTCCACCCTCTAAAAAAGAAAGTGGAATGTGCATCATAGATTCAAATGATGCTGAAGAAGCTGATAAACTAACCCATCTCCATACTATTAATAGGACCTTATTGAATGTATATTTGACACTAGCCTCAGTACATGCTGTGCTGTGGTCATACAACAACTTCATAGACTGTTTTTGACATAAAGGGCAATAAAATTATAATACCTTCCAACCATCTACATCAAAACTTCATCTCCCTTGCTTATGAACTTGAGACCATACCCAACCATTATAGCTAAACTGATGTATGATAGCCATGAATTTCTCTTCCCTCAGTATACATAGCTGATAAACTCTTGTGGAAGGAAGATGGATTAATACCACAAATGTTGGAGCTATAACCACTCAGTAAATTATTGCAGATCACAGAATGACCAATCTGGAGAAACAAATCATAATACATGTAATGCAATCTGTGACCCCTACCTTAGCTGCAAGGAAGCATATTCTTGTCAATGCCCAATTTGAGAGATTGAAGGACAGCCATATAAACTAGCCTTAACCCAACTCTGCTTGCAGGGAAGAATACCATTCACTTCTTCCTCATCTCATCTCCCAACATTAAAAACTAATTCCCCCCCCCTTCCTAAGTCCAACCCTTATGCACTTCTCAACACTCATTGTTCCACCTTTTGTGTTGCCTACACAGTTCTGTTCGACACTTTTATCATAAATAGCCCTAATTCTCAATATTTCATCCCCTCAAGGTAGGTTCCTTAATGCTGTTTAGAGGCTCTTAATGCAAGGAACTGGATGTCCTTCCCTTCCTTGGATCAAACTTGACTGCCTCCCATTCCCCAAGCACTGTATGACTCCTACATGGTTAGTGCCTCTTCTTAATATAATTTAAGGGTACAGCAGGGGGGTGCCTTGATGATGGTACAGTAATCAATCCAAGGAATTTGTACTGCCCTCCCCTTTCTTGGCTCAAAGCTAATTACATCTATTTCTTAGGCACTGCATGGTCATGATTGGTTTAGTGCTTTATCATGAATCTAGAAATTGGTAATTTAAAGGTTAAAAAGTTACTTAAATAATTTATTTTAAATTCCCATTTAGCTCAGTAAATATTTTTTAAGTCTTCATTTACTACTTGTTTTAACACTGATATTTTAAGAGCAAGGAAATAATTGGAGTTCCATCACAATTGTTTTTACCTTAGTCTCCTAATTTTTGCCACATACATTGGACCAAAATTGTTAAGAAGAGATGGCAGTACAATTTGTCCATAACGTAGGCCTAAATTAGTGCCAAATCGGTAGAGAAAACTTAATGGCCGAACTGCATAACTCATATCTCTGAAAACAAGATAAAATTATTATAGGTATTACTGTGTACATAATCTATTTTACTTTCCTTGTAAGCTGAATAAATGATTATATATACTATATATTATACAGAAAATTTGGAGTGTGGAAATTAGGAGAAGGTGTGGAGTTAATAAAAGTATTAGTCAGAGGGCTGAAGAGGGGTTGTTAAGATGGTTTGGTCATTTAGAAAGAATGGATCAAAGTAGAATGACATGGAGAGCATATAAATCTGTAGGGGAAGGAAGGCAGGGTAGGGGTCGTCCTCGAAAAGGTGGATGGAGGGGTAAAGGAGGTTTTGTGGGTGAGGGGCTTGGACTTCCAGCAAGCGTGCATGAGAGTGTTAGATAGGAGTGAATGGAGACGAATGGTATTTGGGACCTGACGAGCTGTTGGAGTGCGAGCAGGGTAATATTTAGTGAAGGGATTCAAGGAAACCAGTTATTTTATATAGCCAGACTTGAGTCCTGGAAATGGGAAGTACACTGCCTGCACTTTAAAGGAGGGGTTTGGGATATTGACAGTTTGGAGGGATATATGGTGTATCTTTATACGTATATACTTCTAAACTGTTGTATTCTGAGCACCTCTGCAAAAACAGTGATTATGTTTGAGTGAGGTGAAAATGTTGAATGATGATGAAAGTATTTTCTTTTTGGGGATTTTCTTTCTTTGTGGGTCACCCTGCCTCGGTGGGAGACGGCCGACTTGTTAAATAAATAAATAAATAAATAAATAAACAAATAAATAAATAAATATAAATAAATATATATATTCTTTCAACACTTCTTTCAACACACTGGCCGTATCCCACCGAGGCGGGGTGGCCCAAAAGGAAAAACGAAAGTTTCTCCTTTTACATTTAGTAATATATACAGAGAAGAGGTTACTAGCCCCTTGCTAGAGGTAGTAGGTTGGTAGACAGCAACCACCCAGGGAGGTACTACCGTCCTGCCAAGTGAGTGTAAAACGAAAGCCTGTGATTGTTTTACATGATGGTAGGATTGCTGATGTCTTCTGTCTGTCTCATAAATATGCAAGATTACAGGCATGTCTTGCTACTTCTACTTACACTTAGGTCACACTACACATACAAAATACACAAGTTAATATACAACACTCACTTAGTTTCTTTGAATTTTATCTTAATAGTTCTTGGTCTTATTTAATTTTCCTTTTATATCCATGGATGTGGAAATAAAAATCTTTCCTCCGCGAAAGCCATGCGTGTTGTAAAATCAACTAAAATGCCGAAAAATGAGGCTAGTAAACCCCTTATCCCTGTAAAGAATTACTAAAAAGAAAAAGAAGGAAGAAAATTGTCCAAAGTTGGAAGTCTAATGTTGCGTGATGTTGTGCAATGATAAAAAGAGATGATTGTGGATGTTATGATGAGAAGAAGCTGGATATTCCTGGCTTAATTGAACAAAGCTGAAGGGGTGGGAGAGTTTCAGTGAGAGGAAATAAATGTGGATTAGGTCATGGTTCAAAATAGAGTTAGATGCTAAAGAAGGAGTATGCAATAATGTTGAAGATAAACTATGTCAGAAAAGAGGGACTATAAATGTATTAATTCAAGATTATTGATAAAATTAAGATTGGATGTGGAAAAGTGGGTTATAATAAGCGTTAATGCACCTGGAGAAGAGATAAGTGTAGATGAAAGAGAAATGAGATTTGTGGGAAATGTTGAGTGAATGCTGTGGGGAGTTTGAATCAAGTGTGAAGTAATGGAGGTTGGGGATTTCTATGCTAAAGTGGTAAACTGTTATGGAGGAAGTAGTAGGTTAATTTGGGGTGCCAGGGTAAATGTTAATGGGATCCTTTATTGAGCTATTGTAGAAAAAATTTTGGTAATAAGTAATCATATTTTATAAAAAGAGGATAAATAAATATACAAGGTATATGTAGCACGTAGAAAGTAGTTTATAAGAATATGTTATACGGTTGATAAAAGGTTGATGGGTAGGCTCCAGGATGGTACATGATTATAGAGGGGCAAACTGATATATCGATCATTATAAGTTGTAGCTACAGTTAAGTAAGAGGTATATTGGGAGATAAGAGGAAGGTGGCAAACAACAGTAAGAAGGAGGTGAAAGTGTATAAACTAAGGGAGGTAAGTTCTGGTGAGGATATAAGCGACTATTGCAAAAGGTGGATAGTGCAAAGATGAGTAATGGTGGGGTTGAGAGGGTTGGAATAGTATTTAAAACTGCCGTATTAGAATGTGGGGCTATGGGGGTGGTAAGGGGTGGGTGCAGGAGGAAAGAGGAGTGATTGGTGGAATGATGAAGTAAACGGGTGTGATAAAAGAGAAAAAGGTAGCTTACGAGAGGTTTTTACAAAGCAGGTAGTGTTATAAGAAGAGCAGAAATATAATGGAAGTAAAAGAATTAAAAGAGAGTGTGAGAGAGTGCAAAAAGGAGAGCAGATGATAGAGTTGCGAGGCACTGCCCAAGAAATTTAATAATGAAAAACAAAAAATTTTTGGAGTGAGTTAAACAAGTTAGAAAGCCAAGGGAAAATATGGATTTTTCAGTTAAAAACAGATTAGGGAGTAAGTAATGGGAGATGGAGGTATTAGGTAGATGGCGAAATAATTTTGAGGACTTTAAATGTTAAGGGTAGAAACAGAGGCAGTAATTTCATCAAGTCAGAGGTATACCATCTTTTAGGATGAAGAAAAGCAGAAATGTATGTGTGGGGAGTACGTGAGGCATTATGTATAAATGAAGGGTAAAGCAGCTGGAACCTATGGGATCAAGACAGAAATGGTTAAAAGCAGGGGATATAGTGTTGGAGTGTGGTACTTTTTGTTTTCAATAAATGTAGTAAAGAGGGAAGTAACTAAGGGATTGGCGGAGAGGCATGTATAGTCCCCTTATAATAAAGGGAAAGGGGACAAAAGAGACTGTAAAAATTAAGAGGAATAAGCTACTGAGTATACCAAGAAAATAGTGTAAGGTAGGGTTATAATTGAATAGAATTAGAGGGGTAAGACAGAATGTAGGGATTGCGGATAGCAAGAGAGGTTTCAGAGTGGGTAGGGGGGATGTGTAATCAAAGTGTATACAATTGAAGCATATAAGTGAACAGTATATAGATAAAGGTAGGGAAGTTTTTTATTGCATTTATGGATTTTATAAAAGGCATATGAAAGAGTAGGAAAGAGGAGCAATGTGCAGAATGTTGCAAGTATATGGAATAGGTGGTAAGTTATGTAAATGCTGTAGAAGAGTTTTTATGAGGATATGACGGCTCAGTTAGGGTGTGGTATGAAGAAGAGACTAGTTTCCCGGTAAAAGTAGTCTTAGACAGGATGTTACTGTCACCAGGTTTGTTTAATATATTATAATGGGGTTGTAAAGAAGTAAATGCTAGGGTGTTCGGAGAGGGGTGGATAAATTTTGGGGAAATCAAATTCAAAATGGAATTGACACAGTTACTTTTTGCTGATGTATACTGTGCTTAGTGAGAGATTCTAAATAAAAATTGCAAAGGTTAGTGGATTAGTTGGAATGTGTGGTAAAGGTAGAATAAGCTAACAGTGAACAAGAAAAGATAAAGGTGATGAAGGGTATCAAAAGATTTAGATAAAGAAAAAATTGGATATCAAATTGGGAGGAGGAGAATGGAAGAAGTGAATGTTTTCAGATACTTGGGAGTTGACGTGTCGGGCGGAATGGGATTTAAGAAGGATAGGTTAATCATAGAATTGATGAGGGAAAAAAGGATGAGTGTGCGGTTGAGGTATATTGGAGTCAAAAAACGTTATCTATGGAGGCAAAGAAGGGAAGTATGAAAGTAAAGTGTACAACACATTTATATGGGTGTGAAGCTTGGGTGTAAATGCAGTAGCAGCGAAGGAGACGGTTGGAGGCAGTGGAGATGTCCTGTTTAGGGGCAATGTTGTGGTGTAAATTTATGCAGAAAATACGAGTGTGGAAATGAGAAAGGTTTATAAAAGTATTAGTCAGAGGTCAGATAGAGGGGTTGTTGAGGTGTTTGGTCATTTAAGAGAATGGAGTCAAAGTAGAATGACATGAAAGCATATAAATCTTAGGGGGAAGGAAGCGGGGTATTGGTCGTCCTAGAAAGGGTTGGATGAGGGGGTAAAGGGGTTTACTGGGCGAGGGGCTTGGACTTCACAGCTAGCGTGCGAGAGCGTGTTAGATAGGATATGAATGAGACAATGATACTTGGGACCTGACCATCTGTTGGAGTGTAGCAGGTAATATTTAGTGAAGGATTCAGGGAAACCGTTATTTTCATTGATAGACGGACTTGAGTCCTGGAAATGGGAAGTACAATGCCTTCACTTTAAAGGAGTTGTTTGGTTATTGCAGTTTGGAGGGATATGTTGTGTATCACTATACGTAGTATGCTTCTAAACTTTTTATTCCTGGCACCTCTGCAAAAGCAGTGATAATGTGGTGAGTGTGGTGGAAAGTATGGTTGAATTGATGATGAAAGTATTTTTCTTTTTGTGGGGATTTTCTTTCTTTTTTTTTTGGTCACCCTGCCTCTGGGAGAGCACCACTTGTTGCAAAAAAAAAAAATATATATATATATAAAATATATATATATATATTACTTATTTTAATTTTTAATTATCTCAACCGGCCGATCCCACCAAGGCAGGGTGGCCCAAAAAGAAAAACTTTTCACCATCATTCAACTCCATCACTGTCTTGCAGAAGGGTGCTTACACTACAGTGTTTAAACTGCAACAGTTAACACCCTCCTTCAGAGTGCAGCACTGTACTTCCCATCCCAGACTCAAGTCCGGCCTGCCGTTTCCTCCCTGAATCCCTTCATAAATGTTACTTTGACTCACACACCTACAGCACTACACTATTCTACAAACATTTGTCTCCATTTCACATCCTATCAAACACGCTCAAGCATGCATGCTGGAATCCAAGCCCCTCGCCACAAAACCCTCCTTTACCCCCTCCCTCCAACCCTTCCTAGGCCGACCCTTACTA